ATCTCCTGGAGGGTTCGGACGATTTAAAAGAGCCACTGTGATTTTTTTTTTTTTTACAGAATCAAACCCACCCATGAAAACCCAGTCACCCTGCTTCTCCCCTCCTCGTTCCCGCACCTCTAGGAGTGGAGGGGGCCACCGCCTGGCGGAAACCCGCGTGCCCGGGGCTAACCTCCAGGCCCAGCCATCAGTCACCGCGCCCGCCCGCGCTCTACGCCGCCTTCCCGAGCCCTCGACCGGTAGGGCTGGAAGCTCTCGGCCTCCCGGGCGCTCAGCGCCTCTTCCCCCAGCTTCGCTGCGCCCAGCGCGCTGCCCTTCCCTCTTCCTAGCCGCCCAGGCGCCTTCCCTACCGCTGCGTTGTTGGTAGAGGGCAGGCAAAGAGGCGCGCGTTTCGGGGTGCCCAGCTCAAGGAAGCGCTGCTGCCGAGGGGGAAGCCAGCAGCCGGCTCCCGCACTGCTCGGCAGCAGCCCTTGGGGATAAACCGCGAGGTAGCCCGGTACCGGCAACCGTAGAGCTAGCTCAGCACCAGCGCGCCACGGGGGAGCTCACCGCAAGGCCGAAGGTCGCGTCCGCGAGCGAGCGCAGAAGGATCCGAGGAGACAGGCAGGAGGGCGCACTACGGAGCGCACTGGACGCTGCTGAAGGTGAGCGAGACCCCAAGGGCAGTCCCCAGTGTCCCCGGGCAACGCCCAGTCCTTTGGAAGACCCAGGGACAATGCCCAAATTTGGGGGAAACTGGGGGCAATGCCCAGTCGTTTTCCTGGATGCGGGAGCAGTCCTGCCCACGTCCTGGCCGTCGCGCAGTGTCCGGAGCGTGTTTGGGGCACACAGACTTTTCCAAAACCTGAGCTGCCGCTGGGACACCGTAGGAAACGTGAAGAGGCTGATACCAATGTTGTGAGCAGGAAAAGGGAAGTGGCCAGTAGAAACAATGCTCAAATTTCGGGGATCCCAAGTCAGACCCTTGTCTGGTTTGCAGCCCTGTGAATGAGTGTCCTGAAGCAGGGGGACTCGAAAGAAAGTCCAGAAATGGGGAAAGTGTAGAGAATGACTAAATTTGAGAGTCCAGAAAAAAAAATTAGAATCCAAGTTGGGGGATGAAGGAAATTATTCCATGAAAAAAATGGGGGAGCTCTTGATCCAGGCCTAACATCTTGGCCAGCAAGTTTGGGGAACCCCCAAAATCCTAGACTAATTTGTAGAAGTTAGGTGGTTTGTTGTTGCTGTTGAGTTTAAGAAAATACCCAACATGAAATTTGGGGGAACTTTGTTTTAGTTGTTTAAAATTGGGAGATGAAAACAACAGATGGATTTTAGGGATCCAGGTCAATTCTTTGGGGGGACAGAGTGGAAACTAGAGCTCACCCTGAGGTCAGTGGACCTTGCAGCACCCGGGAAAAATCATTTCTGTAGTTTCCGTGGCTTCAAATGGGGAAATGCTGTCTAACTGTGGGGCAATTAGGAGTGCAGGCAAGTGGTCCATTTGAGGAAGACAGAAAATCAATGTCTTTTAATATTTTAATTTTAAAAACAGATTTCAGTTGGTCTTTTGTTGAACAAGGGGGGAGTTTGTATGTTTTCTTGGACAGTGTTTGCACTTAAGAAAACATACTGAGTTTTAGGGATCAATAAAAATTACCCAATGGATGTAGAAATCTAACTTGCAGGGAATAGAATTAGTAGCTGGGAAATTTGTAAGACACAGACCTTTAAAACCTAGGACTTGGGGGATCTGGGGCATTATTTCAGTGTGTTTTGAGGACCATAAAACATTGTCTAAATGTAGAAAGACTCCAGTAGGAGTCATAAATTCAACAAAATTCATTAAAATTTAATAAAAATCCAACTCTTTGGATGAAAAAAAAAAAAAAAAGACCTTTCAGTTTGTTTTGGAGTGCCTGAACTTGGGGTCCCCAGGAAAATAATTTTGGAATTTAAAGTTTCCCAGTGTCCTTGGAGCACTTCAGGGCCAACTCCTATGTTACAAGGAATAGAGACGATGAGTCCCTAAATCATAGGGCCCGAAAACCAATTACAAATTTGTAATCTGCAGAGATTGCGCAGCATAACTGGGGAGGGGGTTGAAATGTAGGGGGCTGAGTAGGTGCATAACTGGCACCGTAGAGGGAGAAATTAGACCCTTTTGTGGCCCAAGGTTTAGCACTAAGTGTGTTTTGGGGGCCTGGGAAGTACTGCCTAATGTTTGACGACTTTAGGCATGGGCCAACATGGGGGATGAGGAGGAGGGTCCAGGGTGGTACTGGATTTTGCAATTAGTGTTTGAATGAAAAAAAATTTTTTTTAATTGGTAAGCTATAGGGACCCAGGGACTCTTAATATTCGGTGCAAAGAAAATGCTCAGAGTGCTCAAGGACTGGGGGCCTTCAGCATTCCAGTATACAGAAAAGGGCTTTGGCCAAGAGTTAATGCTGTTCTTTCTGTGACCCAGAGAGACATGGAACAGTCCTATATGACTTGGGAGAGTATGGAAAGCTCTCCACCATATGTGAGCACGTGCATTCGATCACTGCTCAGCCTGCTTTGGGGACTTGAGTGAGAACGTCTATATTTTAAAGAACCCTAACTGTGGCCAGAAAGCTTGCAGGAACTCTAGAAAACCCCCAAAGCCCTGTGACCCGTTTGTATGTTTTTTTTTTTTTTTTTTGGAGGGGGGTCTTGTTGAATGAATTTTAGGCATGATTTGTAAAAGGACTCCCTAGATTTTCTGGAATTCCGGAAATGAGAGCGTAGGCTACTTTAGGTGCCTATATTTAGGGGAGGGCATAGAAAGAAAGGTTGGAATTTTGAGGGTCCCAGGAACTTTGAGGGTTCCAGAAAAATTATTCATGATGTCTGAGTGGGACTCAACTTGTAAAATCTGGGGTTGGGGCAGCAGAGTACAGAATTTAGTCTATTATGGTCCACGTTAATAAAACCAAAGGACGGGTGGCGGGGGAGGACAGTCAGCAGAAATAACTGCAGATATAAAATGATAGGAACATAGAAAAACAACCCCCAACCCACCCCAATGAGACAGCGCCTAAATGCTACGAAAATGTTCACCCTCCCAAGTAAGGAAATTTTGTCAGAAGAACTAAGGACTAAGGACTAAATTTTAGGGAACGGAGGCCGGTGTTTTTACATCTGTAGGAGCTTGCATATGAAGCGGTAATGAGCCAGGAGCAAACTTGGGGGGGGCAGCCCACATAATCTAATTTTGGGGAGCAGGCAGAGGCAGAATTCCCACTTTTTGAAATGTTTGGAAATCAAGTGTCAAAGAAAAAAGAAGGGGGGGGTTCCCTTGTAAGCTGAACAAATGCTGAATGATTTTGGAGGGCCCGAGAAGCAAAGCTTAAATTTCGAGATCTCGGTGAAACTAACGCCTGAGGTGCAGAAAAGCCGGCAAATTGCTCAGCTGCCGGGAGACCACAGAGAACTAGAGCTGTATTTGAGAAACCGAGCTCCCCGGGCCGCGGAGGACCGGCCGCCAGGCAACTCCAGCGGAGCAGGGGCGCCCTCCCAGGGGAACGCGGGCGCGGGAAAGGGGCACAAGCGACGCAGGCAGGGAGCCCCGGCGCCGCGGAGCGCGCGCCCGAGCTGGCTGCAGTTTCCGTTCTTTTGCCTTCTAGCCACCCAGAAGGGCTGGGTAGAGGAGGCCAAAGCGGACGGGCGTCCGAGAGGGAGCGGGAACGCCGATCGAGCGGCGCCGCGCCGCTTCCTGACGCTCCCCAAGCTCCCCGGGCTCAGGCGCCCCGCTCGGCTCCCCGCCGCCCCTGCGCCCCACGCGCTCAGGCGGCGCGAGCCTAGGCGAAGCCGCGGCCGGGCGGCCGCCGGGGGCAGGCTCGTCCCTGGCTCGGTTTGGGGACCCGGGGCACCCCCAGTGGCCTCCCCTGCCTGCCCCTGCGCCCCGCACGCGCCTATCCTGCCTTGCCCGTTCCCTAACAATTAACAGTGGAGGAACCAGTTTTGTTTGGACAGGGTAGAAAGAGGGTAGAGGATGGGGGAGCAAAGAAAGTTGGGGGGGAAAGAGCGTCACAGAATGACACGATGGTGGCAGTGGCCGGATGCCAGGGTCCTCATTTCGTTTTCTCAGAAAAATTTCAGCGACTAGCCACCCAATCCTGGCTGGGGAAAGTCCAGCTTCTTAAAGGCAAATATTAAACCCCCACACACACAGGCTCACCGTGCTGTTGCTGGGAACGAGGTCACCCCTCAAAGTTGGGCAATGCTGGAGGTGAAGGGCCGTTATTCTAGTGGGACCTGGGAGGGGGGTTGTTAGATAAGGGGAGCTGCTAGGGAGCAGCGGAATGGGGAAAAACCTGGGCCATGACTGTAAGCATGGCTTGTCTCTGTGGTCACCCAGAGCGGATGGTACGGCGGGGAATTCTCAAAGCCTGACCCTCTGGGGAGGCAGGAGTTAATGTCAGTGGACAGGTGTGGGGACCTCAGCAGGGTGAGGCCTCTCCTTCCTATTAGCTTGGCCGAACAGAAAGACAGCCCCCCAACCCACACACACACCCATTTTCCACCCGGAGCACGAAGCACGTGGGGAATGTTCCCCTTTCAAATTCCAGTCCGCATCAATCACCCCCGTGTCCCATTCCAAGAACATCTGGCCTGTCCCCCCCACCCTCCACACACGCCCAAGCTGCCCCCTTCCCCCAGCCTCTATCCCCGGCTTTTCTGGCCTGTCTGCCTGTGTGCCTATAGACTTGAGGAAGCTTCCAGCTAGGAAGACTGGGGTCTGGTGATGTCCCCCATGCCGGGGAGACTTGTAAACTTATTGGGAGCGAGGGACATTAAAAAGTTGCCTGTGAACACCCCTAGCCCTTGTGAGGCCAGAGTAGGCTAAAGCCCTCTGCTGAGCGCCTCCTTTAGAAAGAAATGGCAGGTGGGGTGCTCTCTACCTTTCCCCCAAGAAGTGGCCCGGGGTGGGGATGAGCAAGAGTAAGTGTTTGTTTCTGGATTCCTGCTTTCTTTTTCCTAAGGGGCATCTGAGGGGGCAGCAGTCACGCCAGCGGCCGGCCTGTCTCGGGGCCTAATCTCTGCTTTCTGGCCCCACAGAAGTGCCCCGGAGAAGCCACAGAGCCACCCCCTGGAGACGCACTCCTGGACTTGGCCAGGTAGGAAAACGCTGAGGTCACCTTGAGGTGTCCAGTGGAGAACCACCAAGGCATGCAGGCGGGGTAGGGTGGGGGATGGGGCATGCGTGTTCTCCTTCCTCTACACGGCTGCCCACAGAGCCTTCACCTGGCCTTATTTAGTCAAAGTGTGGCCTAAAGGTCAGGGAGAGGCTCATACAGTTCCGGGTCAGCCTAGGGCTCAAAAGCACACAGCCTACCTTCAGCCAGGATCAGTGACCAGATAGATTCTTTCTCTAAGGCCCTCTCCTTTTCCCCTATTTTTGCCTGCCTGCTCAAGGTGGGAAGGGACCTACAACAGTCTTAGGATGTCAAGGGGTTTCCTCTAGGTAGGGCATGGCCCACTAGACTTTAGCCCTATTCGGACCTGCCCTACCCCACCACCACCATGGCAGCCCAGGTCTCCTTTCTGGGCTTAAAAGCTCAAATTCTGAAGAAACTAAATAGCCCTTAAGATTCAGACTCACCCACCATGCCTGGCTGGCACCCTTACAGAGGCTCTGCCTGTCTCCCTTCTCTCCTTGCAAGCAGCCAGTCTTTCTTACTCCCCTTGTCTTTTCCCAGCTCCACGGTCGGTCACTGAGCTGACTGCTCTCCCTTTCCCTGGGAACAAGCCCAGCATTTTACACACCCAGCTTCTCTCTGAGGGTCTCCAGTATGCCCTCCCTCGTGCTCTGCTGGACGCCTGCTGCAGGGGACACAGTCTGCTAGGCTGCGGACTTGGGCACCACATATGGACTCCACGCCAGTAAGACCCAGGGAGTTTTCTGTGCCACCCTGCAACCCCAGGAAGTCACTACCGGGGCCTCCAACATGAGGATTGCACCACCCAAACCAAAAGTAAGTGTTGCCGTGGGGGCACAGCAGACAATGCCGGTATGCTGGGTGGGGATAGATCTGAGGCCATGCCACTGTGTTACTGCTTTACTGTCTGAACCAAACTTTAAAAGAAGATTCCTGGCTTCTCTTTGGCATGGGCATGATGAACTGGAAAGGGGACTTCACCTGCTGGGTCCCACCCTGGCAACTCTGGGAGGCCTGTGCCACTTGAGGCTGAGGCAAAAGGGCACATAGTCACATACCACCCTCCAATCTCCAAAATTCCACCACATCCACAGTACCTGACCAGTGAACAGCAGGGCCACCAAGCAGCAGAGCTTTCTCGGGCAGAGTCCACAGTGCTTCTGGCCCCAGGCCCTTTCTAGCTGACTCCCATCCCCATTCACACACAGGAAACCCATGGCCTTCAGAACACAATGGAATCAGGATACACCTCTCCTAAGTCCCTTCACGGGTCTCAGAATGTCTCTTTGGTCATTATTTCATTTGCTGTTCGCACTTCAGCCAGGAGGCCTGAGACTTTGACAAATGGAGATTGACACAGAGAGGTCAAGCCACTGGCGCAGGGGCACCACAGCTACAACTACATAGCCAAGGGAAGGGGGAACAGCCCCCCCCCCCCAGCTTTCCTAAGCCTCCCATTCTTTCTAGCTAACAGTTTGTTTTTCTTTTTCTTTCCTCAGATTCTTTCCTCTTCTGGAACCCCAGCCAGCCTTTCCCTCTCCGGCTGTCTGACCTTCCCCTCAGCCCTTGCCACCTTTGCCCCTGGACCCCTCAGAACACAGTGTCAAGGACCTACATTCTACAGAGATTGCCAGATGCCTGCTTTGCCTACACCCTGCATTCCCAATGAGAGGCACCTGGAGCCTACCTCAATTCCAGATACCAACTGTGTGACTGAATAGACTTCCTAGCCTCGGGTGGTTCTTTGGCTGCAGGGGACTTGGCTGAACCCTGTATCTGCGGGAGCCCTGCAGATAAGACTCATGTGCTAGATTGCTAGAGATACCTCTGGTGTGCTGGATGCTTAATGGGCACTTACCTCTGAAGAAGGACTGGGACTGGTGGATGGCTCCATTCAGTTCTGGGAGCACTGGGATCTCCTAGGCCATAGGCCACAGCAGCTGGCCTCAGGGCTGGATTCTCGGGCTGCTCTGGCCTGTTGCTTCTCAGGCTTCGGCTCAGGCTTTGGCTCAGGCTTCGGCTCAGGCCTCGGCTCAGTCTCCAGCCTCGGCTCAGGCCTTGGCACAGGCCTTGGCTCAAGTTTTGGCCTCGGCTCAGGCCTCGGCTCAGGCCTCGGCTCAGGAGGCCTCGGCACAGGCCTTGGCACAGGCCTTGGCTCAAGTTTCGGCCTCCACTCAGGCCTTGGCTCAGGGGGCCTTGGCACAGGCCTTGGCTCAAGTTTCGGCCTCCGCTCAGGGATTGGCTCAGGCCTCGGCTCAGGCCTTGGCTCAAGTTTTGGCCTCGGCTCAGGCCTCCGCTCAGGCTTTGGCTTAGGCTGGAGAAGAGGTTCAGTCTGAGGAGATGTAGGATTCTGGGATAGGGCCTTGAGATCATCCTCATCATCCAGCTCCTGCACAGTGAACTGGGTGGTGACCACTCGGCCCCTGAGGAGAAGCAAAAGTCCTTGATAGGATCTCAAAAACAAGTCTTCTCCAGCCGAGTCTGGCCCCCTCTTTCCCCCTCTCGTTGCTGGATGGGGAAGCCTGTGGGTCACCTTGTCAGGGCTGGGCACTCCCACCTCATACCCCTGTCCCTTCAGCTGCTTACCCCCTCTCCCTTTCTAAGTAGAAGGAAGGAAGCAGTTGGTGAGAAGTCACTGCCAAGTTGGACAACTGCTCAGGCAGAGGCAGGAGACCCTCCTTTGGACAAACTGGCCTTTTCCTGGTTGCGGGTGGGCTTCTGCCTTGGCGTGGACAGGGGGTGTTGAACACAAAAGGCTTTCTTTAAGGGGGTCACAGCTAAAAGTATGAAAGTCTCCTGTGTGAAGAGTGGTCTTCACATTCCCACCTTGGATGGGAGAAAAAAACCAAAGGGCACATGGCTCTGCTTTGGTAAGGCAACCTCTGGAAGGGGTGACGGGGCTTCTTCAGGAAATAGACCCTCTCCCCATAAACACCACACTGGGTGGATTAAGGAGTCTGAGATCCCAGTTGCAGGGAAGGAAGACTTTATGCACAAACAAGTGTGCACCTAGGAGTGCCGCTACTGGCCCAAATTCCTACTTATGGACAGGGCACACTAGAGGGAAGGTGCATAAAGAGACTGGCACAGTCAGGAGAAAAGCAGCTTTTGTCTTTTAAACGCTGATAGGAAATAGCAAGGAATATCTTCCTTTCACGGTCCTTCTATTTACTCTCTAGTATCCTGGTGGCAGAAGGGTCAGGAAGTAAAAAGGGAATCTTTGCTTTTAAGATTATGTATATATTATATACGCGTATAATGTACACACGTATATAATAGATATGCATATAATATTCACCCAGGCGCGCACGCACACCCGCGCATACACCCGCGCACACACATGCACACGCTGCTCCAGAATATCTGGCCCCTCTGCACAGTTTTAGGGCGGGGGAGTGGGGAAGGGCATGTACCAGGGTTAATTTTTCATACAGAAAAACTCTTTTCTTTCACATTTGCAAGAACAGCTGTGTACTCCTGCTGGGAAGAGAAAGAGAGCTGCCCCTCTCCTCTTGCACGGTAGATTAGTGAAGGAAAACTTACGTTCCTTGTAGCTTTGCAGCCCTGTAAGTTTCCCAATTGTCTTTTCTATCCCCTCAGGAGCTGAAGCTACTCCAGTCAGTCTAGCGGCAACCTTCCCTAAGTCTCCCCCGGAGACTAGCTAAAGGAGCCTAACTATCCCAAGTCCCCAGCCCACCCACCCATACCAGAATATTTAAACTGCAATTTCACTCATACACAGAAGGCATGAAAAGGAAAAATCAGTTAGTTACCTGTACTCTAGTCGCCGCGAAGAACCCGAAGTCCCCGGACGGTGGATAATGAGGACTGGGGAGTCACTGGTGCCCAAGATTCTCTTTCGAAATTTCTTGGGCGAGGAACTGCTGGGTGGGTTAAAAGCAGCAGCCTCCTCTGAACCCAGGGGTGCCCTGGGTGTGCTGTCCAATCCCTCAAGACGGTTCGAAGAAGGGGACGAGGCTGAGGCTGAAGAGGTGGTGAGAGGGACTTTTAGACTGTGCATGATAACAGAGCCCCTAGAAGTGGCTTCTGCTCTCCACCACTGAGCAAAGCACCTGCTCAAATGCTAACTGACTCTAACTGCCCCTCACCTCCTCGTCCCCTTCACGCCTGTCTCCAGACCCCTCCAAATTTGGGAACGATGTGCCAACACCGTGCAGCAATGGCTTCTGGGGCAGCTGACTATGGCACTTCCCCGCACGAGGGCAAGAGGTCATTCATTAGGGGGCGGAGCTTTGGTCTCTGCCAGACAAACGGAAAGACGTCTATGTGGGTGTTCACATAAGCTAGAAGCACTTCCTGTTAGCTAGGGGGTGGTGACTATGTGAAGGGGTGGGGAGTGGGTGGGGCTTCACTAGAGTGACACTTGGCAGTCACTTGACACCCTGGAATGTTGTGGGCGTGGCACAGGTAAAAAGGGGCGTGGCCTATTTAAATTAGGAGCAGGGTTCAAAATAAATATTAAAATTAGATTTTAAGTGCTTCCGGTGCATCTGTGCGGCACAGCGCCATCATGTCGTCTCATGTTTCATGAGTACTCAACTTAGAATTCTTCTCTGTCATCAGTCATCTGACCTGGCCCCCTGCCCTATATGAGTGGTGCCAAGCACTAAGCGTACTGGTGCAGATGGCATATATAGTGACACTTGTTCACTCTTTTGGGAAAGTTGATTGGGTGGGTTCTCGCCCCTCTTTAGCCTAGCTATGACTTCATTTAAGGCACAGACTCAAAGCTGACAGCAGCTGACATAAGGGTCAGATATAAGTATTGTCTGAACTTTCATTTCATACTTTGAAACCTTTGTCCCTGGGTTTTTGGTAGAGCATGGCATAGAGCAAAGGCTCAAAAAAATAAAAAAGTGCACTCCATAGAAACCCACTAGTCCGTACCTTTGCACCTTTGCATTCCAGCTAATCTTTTTATCTTACTCATCTTATCAGCCCAGGCCAAGACTTAATTATACCCTGTCCATTTGCTGTCCAGGTTCCACCTGCACTCCTTTACTTAGTGGTAGAGATAGGCATGTTTGGGGAGAATGAGACTTTCTCTAAGCAAAGATAACCAAACTTTAGGGCAATTCATATCTGATGGAGGCGACTCAGCACGATACAGATATCCTATTTCATGGGAAAAAGGGCAAGTGGGATTTCTCACTATACTTGTGGGTGATCCCAAATCACATCTATGATACATAGCAGAGGGAATCTCACACTTATCAGAATGAGGCGATCTTTTTGTGTGTGTGTGTGAAGATTCTAGCTCCACTTTGGGGCCCAGGGCTAGACGTATATGACAAGTGCTGCCCTCTGTTGTCCACTGTAATATGCCTGGGCAGTGCCAGGAGCTACTACTAGGACCTTCTGAGATTATTTGGCTTGGATTTACTAAGTCAAAGGTTAGCACGGGAAAGGTAAAGGCTTAATCCAAATCCATGAAGAGATGCCATGGCAGTTTCACCAGAGAAGGAACCCTCTGAGCAGCTAGAAACCTAAGGAGCTATAAGGGGAAAGTGGCTACATTCCACAGGTCACAGTCGGGGAAGCAGAACTTTACTCCAAGCTCTGTCCCCCTGAATTCTCACCTCTAAACAGGCCGAGGGCTATTTTTATTCCATGGGGGTCTTAAAACATGGAATTTTTAAGGAAGGGAAGAATGCAGGCAGAGTACCCATAAAGGAGCAACTAAACTGTGGTGCCACTGAGGCAGGAATGAGGGCAGACATCAGTGAGTTAGGATTTGAGGGGCACGACCCTTCAGAATTACATTTCATGGATGTGCCACGGTTGAGGGACACAGTCTAGGGGACACAGGAGGAAGGGATCATTAAAAAACAAACAAACAAACAAACAAACAGACAGACAAACAAAAACAGAACAAATATTGAGGTGTAGCCACAAAGGCACAGCACATAAAAAAAAATATGCACTCATTTGAGGCTTGAGGAGAAGAGAGTCATCTAATTCAGGGGGTCTGGCTGGACTCTCATTTATGGAAAACAGAGTTGAAGTACCTCTAGAAAGCCCCGGCATCCAATTTTCCTTGCTCAGCTGCTAAAGTGACCTCGTGATGACATCTGGTGGCTATACATGTAATTACAATGCACAATCTAAAGTTCTTACTACAGGAATTTGGGGGTGTTCAGGGAATGGAACTGGTGAGAGGTAAAGCTGTAACTCTTCCCCCTACAAAGAGGAGACTTTCTGTAGCATCAGGTACAAGTGAGTTCTGTAACCTTGTACCTGGACTGCGGGGTTTTTGTTTGTCTGCTTGTTTGTTTGTTTGTTTGTTTGTTTTTGCCTCTACCTTATCAGTCATTCTTTTCTTTGAATTTTTCCTGTCTAAAGACTTGGGGTCCCCTCAAACCACATAAACCCCAAACTGCTTGAGCTATCCATCTAGTTCTAAGAAAACTATGACATAGTTAAATCAAAACAAATTTATGATGGACTCTCCCAGGATCCTAGCTAAGAGGTGGAGTTCCTGGGAGGAACGGTGGATTAAATTTTGTTCTTAATTTTTTTAATTGTTGAATTGTTTTTTTTAAATAATGTATTTGGAATACTAATCTCATTATTAAATAAATGATCAGCAATTTTAAAAAAATGTTTTTTTTGTTCTTAATTTCCATTGGCAGCTTCACCTACCTGCGCCTGAAAAAGGAATTTGCAAACCTGGCTCAAGCTCGACATCTGGTGGTCATTTTAGAAACTGCACTGACTCTTCAGAAAGCACATCTTTCCCCACATTCATAACTAGCTACAGGGTGCTTTACCAACCCTTGGGAATGAGGGATGAGGGAAGGTGTTAGGATTAGGAATGTAGTTCAGTGGTAGAGAATTTTTCAATCATGAAGCTTTGATTCAATCCATGGCTTAGAAAAAACCACTCTCATCCTATCCCTACATAACTTGTCCCTAACCCCTGCACATTGATTTTCTCCCCTTGTCTCACTGGCAGGGCTGAGGCCACCTCCTCATAAGCTATTATTCCACAGATGAAAACCCAGGAAGCCTCATGTTTGGGTATGAGGGGTCCATTCTATATACTTCTACCCACTGGGCATCACACAGGAATAGAGTGGGTACAACGGCCTGGTGACTACCTAGGTTCAAATACCTATTCTGGTCATTGCTTTGGGCAATCAGTCTACCCCGAGCCTCCATTTTCTCTTCTGACCACACAGGTTGTTTCTGTAACCATGTGTGAATGCGTTTGAGATAGTCCAGAACCTCTGGTTGTGGGACACCTACATATGAAAGTTCCTCTGCCTGTCCAACCAAAACTTTACCCCAGATTTTGGAATACTGTCTAGGGCTTCCTTGAGTGCTGAGCTAGAGCTTCAAAGAGCTGCAAAGACCTTCTTGTCCCTACATACAGAGTGAACCTCAGAACCAGAGGAACCGTCATCTGCAGCATGGCACTGCTGGTCTCTTCCAAGAGCCTACTATTGACTAAACCATTTCTCCCCGATCCACTCTAAGATAAGTGCAGGCCTCCATCCTCCATCCCTGGGATAACCTTCCTGTGTCTTGGAATATGATGCCTTCCATATAACCATGGCTATACTGGGAGCGTGATGCAGAAAGTGTACCAGTTTTCTCTTCTCCAAAAACCCACATGAGAGCCAGTGCTCTCGTCCAGGAGATGAAAGCCAGAGACTCTCAGATACAAGACATAAGCCTCCACTAGCCTGACTCATTAGCTCTCATGCCTCAGCCCCCATGTCCCAAATGGACTGAGGATGAAAGGAGAAGTAAGGACCTCTTACTTCTCACACACACAACACACACCTTTTATACAATTTACGCCTATAGCCACCCCTTGTTTA